TTTTTTTTTTTTTAATGTATGTTTGTTTTTGTTTAACTGAGAAGTTAAGACAAAGTTACAAGTGTTTTTCTTGTCCAGGTTGTTGGCCAAAGTTAACAGCATTAAAAGTCTCTTAGTTATTAGGGCCTACGTAACTCCACAGAGTTCTATAGCCTAACTATCTCAGGTTGGAAAGACTTTATTCAAATCCTTTTCCCCTACGATAGGGTGTCCCTGTGCTTTGGAAAATCCTGCCAAGGAATAATCATGGAAATCACTGAATGTTCAGATTCTTTTACTAGTGTCTTCCATTCATTAACCCTGAATATAGATTTCAGACCATACAATAAAAAACCCAATCCTCTACTTAGTGGGTTTCTTCAAATATTGAAGTGGTTTTTTTCTACCTTCCCTAGAACACCCCTGCCAAAGTAGTAAATATTCCCACTTGTTCTGATCTTTTTTTTTTTTTTTGGTGTTTTTAAACACAATTTGACATCTTGTATACTGTGTATTTTCCACACATTTTCTGTATCATGAATTCTAAATATCACCTGGGTATTTTATCCTCATTTTTTGTCACTTCTTGATTCATTCACTTCCATGTGTTTAGAGAGCAGCCTTTTCCTCTACAACTGAGCTATATCTCCAACCCTGTTCATAAAATTAATTTTGAATATGGTGCTATCTGGTATATATCGGATTTCTCCACAAACTATTCAGATTTTCCCCTTTACCAAATGATTTTGTTTCCATCATTTCCTGCTTTTATTATTTGAAATTCTACTGAGAGGAAGAGTTTTTGTTCCCCATTATGATTGATACTAGATCCACATTTTTATATTATTTGATGGTATATTCATTTACTATCATTATTTATTGCTCAAATTCTCATATTTAGCCACATGAGCCCCTTTCTGTTCTTTTCACATGTCCCTGTCCTTTTAATGCTTTTTTAAATTCTGGAAGCACAAAATGTAGGAGGTTCATCTCGTGTCTACTGTAGCCTTGGAATCTGATTTCTTTCTTCAAGCATCTGCTTTGAAAATACATTTTTTAAAAAGTGGCACTGTGTGTACTCATTGATACAAGGTTGTTGTTTTAACCTGTTTTACAGAGCTAGGAAATATACATCT